TTTCCCAATTCATCAGTCAAAGTGTTATGCAAGTGGCCCCCTAAATTGATAAATTCCCACAGTGCCTGTTGACCCAGCTGCCAAGTGCTCATGCAGCAGGTGTTGTTTTCATGACCACCCTGACAGTAATACAAACTGTTTAGCAGTTGCATTGACCTCTTAGCTATTAACATTGATACAGGCTTCACTAGGGACTAGTTTTCAAACATGACAGAATTTCTTAAGACTAGAGGTCATGAACAAGTATACCATATAAGAATAAATTTGATATGCTGCTGAGTTTAAATCTTAAAAGCCGTGAGTTTTTTCCACATTATTCCCATGTAGTAAATCTGGAGACAAGTAACGAGCTTTTGGCATCTCTCCCAGGACTAAAGGTATACTTTTTAATTTTAGAAGCTGTACCTGAAGAGATGCTGTATTTATTCTATGACAAGTAGCAAATTTAGTCTATGACAAGTAGTGAAACAAAATTACTTTTCCTTGTCATTTTCCCTTATAAAGGAAAGAAAATGAACAACTAATGCACAAATTTTGGTGATATACTTAAGCATCATTCTAATACCTAATATCTTGTGTGCAGTTAATTGAAGCATAACATTCTTTCTATATATTATGTACCACAATCAGGATTTCTACAGCCACGTCTCTTGTTCAAATGTGAACATCCAGGAATTTTGTCTGGGTTTTTTCTCACTTCAGTGGGAAAGTAGAGATTTTTGATACTGTGTCAAAGGCATGATGGCAGAATTGTTTTCTGTTCAGTACCTTTGTATTACTGCTGAATTTGACCCTCCATTTGCATTGATTTATGTAGGTCTCAGTTACAGGCTAGCACATACAGCAACTAAATCCCTCTGCGTTTAGTGGAACTGTGAAGAGATGCACTAAAGAAAGCACAAAATCCCAAGCAGTTCCAGGATGAGTTTTAATCTATTAAAGCATGTTAGACTTTTATATGCCTCTAAAATAACAGTAGAGGACACTTTCTTATACTAGCTACGGTAATGCAGCAAAAATTATTTTACACACCGTGCAGTCAAGAATTCCCAGCTCACTGCATATGTCAGTGAAGGGACCCAGCGAGGCCCCCAGCCCCCAGTACCGCTTTTCCTCCATGTTCCATACATTTCGAGTTGTCACACAGTTTCATGAAAGCATGTTTTAACAAGCAAGATATACTGTACTGTACTGTATATATGAACAGCTCTTTAAGATAACTAGAATTGTACAGACCATATAAATAGTCATTATCAGCTACATTTTTGGCTGCCTTTCTGTGGACCAAATAGTGCTTACTGTAAGAGTAATCAAGCTGTACCCTTTAGAGTTTTATGGATTGAAGGAGACAAGGAAAAAAATCCCTCCAGCCCACAGTGTGGCTTCATCTATTCCCCTCCATTTTCCACGTCAAGAGACACAGCGAAGCACTAGTTATATAAACAAAATCATAGGCTTGTCTAAGTGCTGGAAAGATCAAGTCCCAACAGTCAGTTTGAAGACTTATGTTATCTTTGTGAGATTCAGTTCAACTTACGCTGAGCCTGAAAATCTCCACCCCTTTAAAGCCTTAAGAATGCAAAATGTAAGTGTTGTGGGGCAGAGACTCTCCCTTGATAACCTGTTGGTACCGTAACGGCATTCAAATCCTGAGAAAGAAGTGTGGCTTTTCCCGTAGTCCAGCTAAGGAAAACCAGTAATTCTTCTCACACACACGAGGATTCTGCTGCAGCTGCATTTGTATTCCTCTTCTCCTAAGGCACTCTGCCAACCAGAATTTTTTCCATCTTTGTTTCTACTCCACCCCACCATTAATAAATATTATCCGAGGCTGATGAGTGCAAGTTATTGATTGATGGTAGAATAAAAGGCAAGGTTATATTCACAAGTACCAAGAGCACTAGAAAACTTTAAATCATAAAAGTGACCAGCCATGCTTTGCTGGATACAAAAAAAGTATGACATCTGCCTCCCTAATTAAACACAAATGAAAAAAGAACCATATATTCCAGGACTATCATAGATAAATACTTTACATCTATTAATAAAATAAATCATTATCTTCACAAGTAAAAGATCTCTGTGACTTCTGAGGTCGTTCTTTGCTAAAGATATGCCACTGGAGCTCTTTTGCAAGAGATGCTCCAGGAGCCTGAGGTTATGCTTCCTGCTAAATGCAGTACTGTACTTGTGTTTGAACAAGAAAAGGAGAAGACTCCCATTTATAGTAACTTGAAAGAAATGGGCTTTAACAGAGACAGATGAAGAAAGAATGTTGTCTCCTATGCAGTTGGCTATAAAGAAATCAACTAAAATGTAGATTTTTTTAGGTAGGAATTAGAACACAGATCTTTTTACTTTAAATCTGAACAAGTCTCCACTGAAAATCACATCATCTTGTAGAACCGTTTCCAAAACAGCATTGCCTGTGAATCTTGCATATAACTTTTAAGCATAGGAACTTTCTTAACCAGCTCACATATAATGCACTCATTACTACAGAACTAGAATTCCTTATGGGCCAAAAAAATAATGCATTATATTTAAAAGACAGCTGTGGAAATACGTAAACACAAAACCTGAAAGGATTTCAGATATGCTGCAAGAAAGGTATCAAAACATGTTTCAAAGCCCTTCAATAATACAGGACCTTAAGTCTGATTCTCAGAAGTGCTTTTGAAGTCAGAACTTGGTGCTACACTAAAGATGCATCTACACATTCTTCCTGTCCTTAACATCTTTGGGGAACCAGTTCTTCTGTATGGATGTTTAAATAATTATGGTAGCAATTAAGACTGAGCAGAGAAAGTGCTACGGTGAAACAAACCAGTGAGCCTGTACTCTATTACCCTGTTTCAAAGAAAAATGCAAGAAACCCTGTAATGTACGATTAACAAGCTGCATGCCAAAATTGGCGGGGGGGGGGGAACGTAAGCCCAGTCAGCTAGTGAGGGACTTCTATACTTCTATTACATTAGGTATGAGTGCTTATTTTTCTTAAAAATTATTTTTACCCTATCTAATACTACTTTGAATGGCCCCATTGTGCATAGAAATATCTTCTAAAAATCCTACTAGAACATGGGTTTCATTGATATCTTAGAAGCCATGAGTTCAGCTAGTTAATTTTACTTTCTTTAGCTTAATTTTTTTCCCTCAATATTTCTTCTGATGCTGAAATGGGAGATAAACAAGAATACTCAATTTTCCTCCTCTTTTTCTGCCACTGTTTTCCACACCTCCATCATACCCCTTCTTTCTCAGACTCCAAAGACTATCCTTTTCTCCACACGGGAGTATTGATCTAGGATTTTAATATTTGACAGGGTAATCAGTGCACAAGTTGCTCTTCCAGCTATTTGCGTATAATTGGGATTTTAATACTGATGTCAGTATAATGAACAATGTTATTTTCTATTCTATTCTACCTATCTCATACAATTTTGTTTTGGTTTGTCTGGATTCTAGCTGGACACTTAGCCAAGGTTTCTCTGAGCTCTCCACAAAACTATCAGAACCTTTGTCCTGTAAATTTCAAGCTTTGGAAAGTATGGCAGTAGTTCAGATTATTTCCTTGAGAATGAATAATTTTGTGTTTGTCACTAATTAACTTAATTTGCCATTATGCTCCCATTCAATTACTTGTTTATATCTCTTGGGAGATTCTGAGATTCTTTTCTCAACCTATTTCTGTGCAATCAAACCCACAGCAGAGACAAAACACGGTACCTGTACTGGGAACCTGTAGCCTTGTGATGATCCTATCAGTCTGTAGCTACTGAACTCAGACAGCAAATAAAATAAGTGGTCAGCATGATGACATAAAGCTAAATTAAAAAAACCCCAATAATCATCTAAAAAAGCGTTGGAAGTTGTATTGACAGTTAGAGCACGCTTAAGTTAAAACACTTAAGTGTTTTACATGCTTAACACTACAGAAGAAATACTACAGTTCCTTCTTTGTTAAGGAAGATAATGCCGTGCTTTTGTAAATAAAAAAGGCTGCTGGACATCCAAAATGCTTTGTAGAGACTGACAGAAAAAATGCATTACATGAGACTTGACCCCAAGAAGCCCAACAAAAAACCAGTATCAGAAATATTTTAAGTCAGCTGAACTAGAACTTCCTTCGTGCGTACATTTCACAGAATCACCCACAGAAAGGTTGAGGCTGGAAGGGACCTCTGGAAGGCACCTGGTCCAACCCCCCTGCTCAAGCAGGGCCACCTACAGCCAGTTGCCCAGGACTGTGTCCAGACGGCTGTTGAATATCCCCAAGATGGAGATTCCACATCCTCTCTGGACGACCTGTGTCAGTGCTTGGTCACCCGCACAGTGAAAAAGTCTTTCCTGATGTTCAGATGCTTAAATAAGCATCTGGAATGCATAATCCAAATATGATTTCATAAAAATATGGAAATAAAAAATCCGCAACGCCAAACTGAATTTGTAGACAGAGGTAATACTTTCACAAAATTATTATGCATGTCATAACGTGTGACATAAAACTTGCTGTTTAGATTACTCTTCCCAGCATACAATCGGAAATATAAATCAGCCAGAAAAGCAAAAAGACGCCATCAGATTCTGGACTGAATTATATGACTATTTGCACTCTCTGAAGAAAAGCCACACAATCAGTAGAATTTAGCACATCTAATAATGATATTGTCTAGAGATATATGCTGCCTGCAATAAGCTCTTCAGCAAGCTGGTTTTGCCAGGTTCAAACTTCAAGAATTCTGAAGGACTACTATTTAATCTTGTAGAAGATCTCTGAAGGCAGTTATATGAAAGAATAGCAAACCACACTATATTCTTCTGTAATGTAACGTATCTTCTCTACGTTTACTGGTGGTTTTGAGAAAAAAAGCAATCCCCTTAGAACACAGACTTCTCCCACTGATAATACCTTAAAAGAGAATCAGGCCTTTAATAAAAAAACCAAAGTTCTTCTCCTTGACCCTGACTCTCTGCCTGGTTCGTATATTTTTTTTCAGGCCTTTAGTCCCTGAAGAATGCAAAAGAACAGCTCAGTCTGCACAGATACTGACATCTGAATGCTCAAGGCATTGTCGGAATGGGCACTGCACTCCCACAGGAAAATGCTGCTGTAATCAAGGCTGGGAAGGAGAGTTCTGCAGAACTGGTTTGTATATAGATTCATAGCAACTGGTGAAAAAAGCAGTGACGTGTCATAATTTGCTTTGAATTATTTGCTGAGAGAAATTTTCAATATATGCCGTTGACCATCAGTTGTAAAGCAACATTAAAGAAATACTGATCTCATGAATTGTAGGGGAATTGTAGGGGAATAAGTCTTTAGATGAGTGCAACAGCTGAAACAGCTAATGCAATGTGAACCATTACAGAATGCAATTAATAGCATAAATATGACAGACAACAGTATTCTTAATTTTTTCACCCAGATTGTAAAATGAAAGGAAATGCAATCAATACATGTTCCATGTCTGGACATTCAGCTTCCACCTGCAGTATTACCATTGTCAGTGTCAAATAGGAGTACCTTGTCAGGAAAAATGATAAATCAGACCTGCAGGTCACCATTGCATATTTTGCACTTTGCTAATTTAATGCAAATACTTTAGTTCTGGTACATTCTTACTTTTGAACCTATGAAATAAAATGGGTCCAGTTTGTTAAAGAGAATCCTATGTACAACTTATCACAAAGCAGCCAATAATCAGAAAGTTATTGTCATCTGTTATTAATCACAGTGCTTTTATTAAGTCCTATCTTGTTGCTGTAGCATATCTTTTAAAAGTCACTTGAAAAAGTGATTGTGCTCAAACTAGATATTGGGTATGCCACCAAAGGGGTGAGATGAATGAACCTGGAGTGCCACAGCTGTGCTATCACTGTCTCACAGAGGCTGTGGTTATGTCTGAGCTGTATAACTCTGGCCTGTGCAGATCTTGCAGAGCAAGCCTGTGTACCAGGAGGTGTTATCAGTGCATCAGGACAGTCTTCTGACTGAGCTTATTTGCTCAGCGAGTTTGACCAGATGCCTATACAACGAGATAAGGTTAACGTAATAGCAAGAGAACTCCAAAGAGGAAAAGAATCACAGAGTAAGACAAAGCAAGGATCACACGATGGACCAAGGATGATTCAGGTTGGAAGGGCACTCAGGAGGGCCCTGCTGAAGCAGGGTCAGCTACGAGGTCCTTACAGCCTGGAGTGTAATTTTCACGGGGTTTTAGTGATGAGCAGGAGTGACTTTGTTTGGAACGAAATGAAACGAATGAAATCACTAATGATATATCTTACTGGCAAGATTCATGAGCTGACCATCATACAGCCATGCAACAAAAGCAGGTTGGAGAAATGGATGAGGTAATCTGGCCAAATAGCCCAACTTCAATTGTCCTCACTTGTCAGTCAGAGATTTCCCGCATTTAGAGAATAAGGCCCGTTCTGCAGCCCTTGGCCAAGTGGAACTTAAAGTAAAAAAGGTCTCCAGTGTGAACATAAATCGGTCTTGAATAATCTGTTTCATTTAAAAAATTACATCTTTATGATAGATAATTTGATAGATGCAATGTACAACAAAGCTACAGAAAATACGTAGACTAAGGATCTTTCTTCCCCGGATCCCATGCAGCACTTAACAGAGATGTTCTAGGTTGGACCTCAAGCTACTATTATAATTTAAATAAGAAAAATTACCTTACGAGACATCAGGTTCCTCCTAGGGTAATTAAGAAACTGATGAATAAAATCAAGAAACCTGTTTTTATGTAGTGTATTATAAATCTCTGTAATTCACTATTAAAGCTTTATTGTAATAGATAACATTAAACAGCAAAATGTCTGCAAAAATAAAGAGACATTGTATTTATCATAGTGCTGTGACTCTACCCCAGAAGAAAATACTTCCACAACTGAAGTTATTGATTATTAGTTTTGCTAACGCTGGCTACAATTTAAACCAGCACTTATATTTGAAAAATTTAAGCAAGCTGATTAACCTAGAACTCTATAGGTAAATCATCAGGCATCTGCTAAAGAGAGAGGGAAAAACTTTGAAACTTAACTAACTGATAAAAGCGGTCGAAAAAATACTCTGGTTCTTTTTTTTTTCTAAAGGGAATTCAATTTTGTTCCAAGCATAAGTGATTCAAGAGCCAAAGGAGTGCATCTCTGTGGTCAATTGTAGCCTGCTCTGCTACGGAAAGCGTGTTGTGCAGAACTCTGCATGTACAAAGGAGTCTACCTGAGGTTCAGTGCTTGCTAGCTTAGAGATGGCCAGGTGCTAAAATGTCTCACCAACTTCAGGACTTTTTTGGGTTGCCAGCATAAGAAATGGGATGAGGTAGACCACCACTGTTTAAAGATCTAGATGTGCTGCATGTCTCGTTTTCAAATGATAAGACATTTAGAGCCTAAAGTCTTTTGAGATGGGTCTTCTATGCACTCCAGAATCAAGCATGAATATGGGAATTGGACATTTTCAAAAATCTGCTATTTGAGTTTCACAGTCTGTCCTGGGTGATGTCTGCTCAGACATACAAAATTACTTCCTCCCCATAATATTCTAAAACTTTAAAAAATACGGTTTCAAAACTACTAATATTTCATCCTTTCTATTTTGTTTTTGTGTGCTTTATAAGTTTAGAAGAGCTTTTAATGAATGCATACTGTATCTTTTCAGTTTGTGATGTTCTAAACAAATTGGAAAAATCACTGTTTTTTTCCCCACAGCAAAATGTGACCCAGCCTGTCGACATGGAGGTGTCTGTGTAAGGCCTAATAAATGCTTATGTAAAAAAGGCTATCTCGGCCCCCAGTGTGAACAAGTGGATAGAAACATCCGAAGAGTGACAAGGGCAGGTATTCTTGATCAGATCCTAGACATGACATCCTATTTGCTGGATCTAACCAGCTATATTGTATAGTTTCTGGGACTATTTGGAAACTACACTTTCAACGGGCATTTGTTTTGAATCCTGTCATTTTTAAAAGACTGTTATCCTGCAACAAATACCGGTGATTTGATTTACTTTATTAATTTAAGTATAATATCCACAAATGTGCAGATAAATTCTTTGTATGTGTGTAAATATTTCTGTGCGTCTCCACAGACGTACCAATATCCAATACGTGCACACATACACATGCACACACTACCACAAATACAGTTTTACAGCTAGTGGAATTTTTTTTTATATTTATTCCTTCATGAGAAATAGTTTACAAAGTAATTCCACTGTAAACCACATTTTCGTCAAAGGACTTTCGTGATGTCTTAATGGATTCTTTGACACCCCAGAAATCTCGTGTCTGTACCTTTCCGATTATAGCAATAAGAGAGCAGTTTTCAAACATCGCTGTATAAACTGCTGGACTTAATAAAATCCAGTTGTAACAGTTTCTAAGGTGAACTGAACTACATCATGAGACAATATTTCAGAACTCCTTAATGCATTCCTATCTAGGCAATTAATTGTAAGACTGTAACCTTCACCTTCATCAATGTAACTCTATTACAGAATGTTACGCATTTCTTTATCTAGCATAGATGCAAAAATCTGGTTATCGCAGCTTAATATCAAGATTGTTTCAAGTGTTTAATAATTAAATTATATTCGCATATTTCAAAACCAGTCATCCTAGAAGGTCTGCTTTTTATCATATATTTTATTTAACGATGGGCACTGGGTTCATGTTACATATTTATATTATTTTATTT